TTATTTTAGTTTTATTTTTTGTGATAACCTGGGATTGAACCCAGGGAATTGCTGAGCTCCCCCTCAGCCCTTACATTTTTTATTTTGAGACGGTTTTGCTAAATTGCCCAAGCTGGCCTTGAACTTGAAATCTTCCTGCCCCATCCTCCCAAGTAGCTGGGATTATAAGTGTTCACCACTGTACCTGGCTTACTTTTTTTCCCCTGGCCTTTTAAAGCTATTGTCTCCATAAAAAAAAGTATGGACTTGTAAGTCATGAATATGATAAAAATACCTTATATGCATTGAAACTCCCCTCAAAACATGTGATAGTAGGGCCGGGGATTTAGCTCAGTGGTTTCGCTGCCTACTGCGCAAGTACAAGGACCCAAGTTCAATTCCCCAGAACCAAAAAAAAAAAAAAAACATGATAGTATGGGGAGTGAGAAGAGTGGTGTAGGAAAAGATATTATATGCAGGCACACATCTGCCAAAATAAAACCCATTAATCTGTATAATCAATATGCACTAATATAAATGTGTTGAAGAAGACCAGCCCCTCCCCACCCTCTGGCTCCAGTGTTGCTGTCTTCCACACTCCTGCCATTGTGATGCCATTGGCCATGAAGCCCCTACCAGAGGCCAAAAAAATGGGGCTGTCTAATCAGGGGCTTTCTGCTTCCAAAACTGAGCTAAATAAATCTCTTTTCTTTACAAATAAAAAAAAAAAATATACACACACACACACACACACACACACACACTCTGAGTTAGGCAGGATGGCACATGCCTATAATCCCCTCTCCTGGAAATGCTGAGGCAAAGAGGATTTAGCAAGACCTTGACTTAAATTTTAAGGGCCGGGGATGTAGTTCAGTGGTGCCACATCTGCCTGGCAAGTGCAAGGTCTTGAGTTCAATCCCCAGTACCGGAAAAAATAAATAAATTCTTTAAAGGGCTGGGGTTGTAACTCCGTGGTAGAGCACTTGCCTAGCCTGTGGGAAACCCTAGGATCCCTCGCCAGGACTGCAAACTTAAAAAAAAAAAAGTAAAAAGGAAGCCCCACTTCCTCCAGCCTACTGACAACCTTTGGTACCCTAGCACACATGGCCCAGTGAATGAGGAGCCATGCCTTGGCACCTGCTGCATGCTGATAATTGAGGATAGAGGCCAGCTGCTCTGGTCTCGCTGTATAAATTCAGAGTGGGCCGGGGATTTAGCTCAGCGGCACAGCGCCTGCCTGGCAAGCACAAGGTCCTGAGTTTGATCCCTGGTACCAAAAAAAAAAAAAAAAATTCACAGAAATATGAATAGGTAACAGTAGAGAAAAGGGTATCAACACACTGAAAATTTTGCACAGAAACTTTAGATATTTAATTTTCCTGGAGTTAGTAGGAAATTGAAAAAATAAGATGTATTTGATGTTTTGGAAAGTGAGAAAGCTGTTAGTGAAGTCTGTTGTCCTATTGAAATAAATGAAGCCCTTACAGAAAATTTAGGACTTGTCAACAAATCCTGTTATGAGTATGATTGGCTGGTCAAGATGACATTGAGTGGCCCTTCAGAATTAGGTGAACTGATGAGTGAAGAAGCATATGAGAAATATACCAGATTTATTGAGGAATGAGAATAGGACCCCTAAATAAAATAATAATAATAAAATGAAATAATAATAGTAAAGAAATAAAAGAAACAGTGCCAAACCATTAATCCCTATCCAAAGGAAATTCTGTATATAGCAAAGTATTGCTGCGATGAGGATAGGGGACAATATGGTGGTTATGCCCCAGAATTTTGAGTGAATCACATTTTACCTCTAGGGGATGATGGAACTAACAAAGAAGCCACAAGCACAGGAAAATTGAACCAAGAGAATGAGCACATCTATAACCTGTGGTGTTCTGGTCGAGTGTGCTGTGAGGGCATGCTTATCCAGCTGAGAGTAAGTAGGAGACATCTGATTGAATGAATTTTTTTCTAAATGTGAGTTCTAATCCTCTAAATTTAGTGACTCATCCTTTCACGTTTGATTTTAAATGAGTTCTAAATGCTGTCTTCTAACTGCCAAATGTGTTGTAGAAGATGTTTGATAAAGAATGTGACTCCCTGTCCATTCTTTATAGTAAGTGGAAGTTGCAACTGTGTTAATTTCTCATTCTTTTAGTTCCTCAAGAGACAAGACTTACTGAATGTCCTGGCTCGGATGATGAGACCAGTGAGTGATCAAGTGGTATGTGATCTCTGTTAAATCTTTATGTATACACTGAATACATTTCTGCCTGGATTTTGTTTGGAGTTTTTGGCAACTTGTGTCCTGCATCAAAAAATTGATCCTTTTCTATTTAGAAAGATAATTTTCCACTCATTGTGCAACTATCAGGAGGACTTTGTGTGCTTTTTGGAGGGAAAAAAAATAATACTCTGTCACCACATAAATCAACCGAATTAGCCTAGATAAAGGAACAGTTGTCACAGATAGTTTGCCCATGTATCCAGCTCTGCTCCTGTGTATATTTTTGTCTTTGGCAAAAAGGTGGGGTTTTTTTCCCCAATATTTTTTGCTTCAAATAAATAATTTTATTTTCTTGAAAGAGCTCACATTTATTGTTGGGTGCACTTTCTTTCCTATTTTAAATCACCATGTTAATCTGTAAATTGCATCCTTCATCAGAAATGCCTTAATCATTTCTCCTCCTTTGTCCTTTTTGTTCTTTTCCCTTCTAGTATTGAGGTCTTCACACTGAGCTACATCCCTATCCTTTGTTATTTTTTTATTTTTTAAGATTTTGGCCACATCACTAAGTTTCCCATGCTGGCATGCCCAGCTTCTTCATTCTTTCAGTAAATAACTGTGTTGATTCCTTCTGGTATAAGAAACAAAAGTATATAGGAAAGTTTCTTCTTTTATTGAAACTAGTAGAATTTGAGATATGTGAGTGTATGTCAACATGCAGAGTAGTATTTGCTTACTAACTGCTGCATTCATAATGTAAAGTAGATGCTTTGAAGTATTTTGGGCTTGAAGCTCATTTTAAAGACTTCAGTTTTAGTTGTAAATCTCTCTCTTTTGTGGGGGGAGGTAGGGTTTTGCTGTGTATTTCAGGTTGGCCTTGAATTCAGGCAATCCTCTTCCCTCAATCTCCTGAGTGCTGGGATTACAGGAGTGTACCACCATGCTTGGCCAGTTGTAAATCTTTAATTTTTTTTAATATGGCCCCTGATGACTTAGTCTTTTAAATTTTAGAACCCCATCAGTTAATATGGAAGACTGGCCCCTATATTTCTCCCACCAAACATCCTATTAGGTAAAAGGGAAGGGCAGACTAGGTGCAGTGGCACTCCTGCAATCTGGAAGACTGAGGCAAGAGGGTTGCAAGTTTGAGCCCTGCGACTTTGTTAAGACGCTGGCTCAAAATAAAAAATGGGTTGGGCATCCATTTGAGTGCAGAGGCTCTGGGCTCAATCCTCGTTATTTCAAATGGGAGGAGGCAGTTGCTTTATCCTCCTTATCCATCTATTTTTTAGGAATTACTTTTTAGTAGCTGGTAGCTAGGCATGGTGGCACATTCCTATAATCACAGCGCTTGGGAGGCTGAGGAAAGAGAATTACAAATTCAAGGCCAGCCTGGCCTATGTAGCAAGACTCTTATTTCCAAAAAAAGAAAGGTTTCTTTAGTATTTTAATCATTTTCTATTCTCTCCTGGAGTAGATTTAATCTTTTCCCCTGGGCCTCAGAAGAAAAAGAGCTTCAATGTATACACATGGTCTTTCATATTTTTTTGCTTTTCTTATTTTTTGCTGGATTCTATTTAAGATATTGCTTTGTGTAGTGACAAAAGAACAGAAAATTTATAGCTGCCATCTTGCCAGGTCTTTCCCTACATTAACATCTCACTTCCTCCACGTACTGATAATTATTTGACCCAAACATGTAAAAAAATATAATTAATATGGAAATAGGGCCATTCTTTATTAAACAAGACTCTTTAGATATAACTTTATCTCTCTGGCCCAATGCAGAGTGTAATTGTTTACCTGCTTGAGAATATTTTTTAACACCAACAATCAATTCTTGGATTCTCTGGATATCAACTGGGTGTCCAATAATTCATTTGAGTTCAGTTCTGGTACTGGCTGCCTGGAGTTAGCTTCACATCCCACAAGTTGAAGATCTCAGTCCACAAAATGCCCCTACCTCAGAGGCAGTCACAAATCCTAGGCCACTTGTATGGCCACATACGTACACTTTTAACTGATTGAATATATATCAAGGGTCCCCACTGTCTCCTTTAGGTTCACTAATTTGTTACGACTCACAGAACTCAGAATGGAGGGGACTTTACATTTAGTGGCGTATTATTAAAGATGCACCTCAGTGAGCTGAAATAAATCTTTCCTCTAAAAAAAGATGCAACTGGGCTGGCTATTTAGCTCAGTGGTTCTAGCGCCTGCCTTGCGGGCACAAGGTCCCAAGTTCAATTCCCGGTACTGAAAAAAAAAAAAAAAAAAAAAGATGCAACTCAGGGATAGCCAAATAAAAGAGACTGGGTGAAATATGAGAGGCATAGAGCTTCCCACATGCCTCTCTGAGCACGCCATCCTTTCAGCAAGTTGAGTTCACCAACTTGGAAGCTCCCTGAATCATGTTAAGACTTTTTCTAGAGTGCAGTCTTCATCTCTGTCTTATCCCCAGAGGTCCTGAGTAGAACTTAAAGTTTGTCCCTCTAAGCATTGATTTTTCTCCTACCAGCCCCATTCCTGAGACCATCTAGGAATCATCTTAAGTCACTCCATTAGTGTAAACTCAGTTGTGATTGAAAGAAGTTGGTTATCACTAACAAAAGACACTCCTGTCATTCAGGAAATTCTAAGGGTCTTAGGAGTTCTGTGCCAGAAACCTGAGACAAAAATCAAATGTATTTCTTATGCCACACTGTCCAACTTAGATCTTGTTTATTCCTGATTTTTTTTTTTGACACAACTCCTATATGGATAGTATACTATTGCTGTATAACAAATTATCATAAATTTAGTAGCTTAACTCTCATTTATTATTATCTCACAGTTTCTGTATAAGTAATCCATAATGATGGGTTAGCTAGCTAGATCCTGTACTCGGGGATTTTTTTTTATTTTTAAATTTTTTGCATGCTGTGGATTGAATCCAAGTCCTTTACACAGAGATACATCCGTAGCCCTTTTTTGAAAGAGTCTCGCTAAGGCTCAAACTCTCTCCTCCTGTTTCAGCCTCCCAAAATGTGAGATTACAGGGATGCACCACCATGCCCAGCTGTTCAGGATAGGCTGAAATTAAGGTGTCAGCCAGACTGGTTTCCTTCTTGATGTCCTTTTCTCAAGATCGTTCAGATTGTCAGGAGAGTTCAGTTCATTGTGGTTGTAGATCCTCATTAACTTGCTATTGCTACCTGTCAACTGGGAACTACACTCAGCTCCTAGAGTCCACCCTCAGGTGCTTCCCACAAGGGACCTTCTGCCTTATCACAATGTAAGTGTGGGATTGCTGTTCTATCATATTTATAAATCCCACTTAAAGGCAGAGTGTATATACCAGAAGGAGAAATCTTAAGGGCTGTTTGAAATCGACCTACAACAGAAGCTGACAAGTAAGCTTTGTTTCTTGTGTGTTTTTTTAAGCAAATAAAAGTAACCATGAATGATGAAGACATGGATACATATGTATTTGCTGTGGGCACACGAAAGGCTTTGGTGCGACTGCAGAAGGAGATGCAAGATCTGGTATGTCAACTTGTTGCAACTCAGATTTGTTAGAAACTCTCTTAATTACATAGATGTTCAGCTTCATAGCCTAGGGCAATTAATCATATCAGTCAGTTGTTAAACACTATTTTGAAATGAGTCAAAATTATTTGTCCCTAATAAAATATTATGTAGTATGTTATTTTCAATTTCTTTTTCTTCTAGAGTGAATTTTGTAGTGATAAACCTAAGTCTGGAGCAAAATATGGGCTGCCAGACTCTTTGGCCATCCTGTCAGAGATGGGAGAAGTCACAGAGGGAATGATGGATACAAAGGTAAATGCAGTAGAAGACATGCATCTGACAGACTTGACACTGAGGATATACTCTCCCTAAAAAAAATCAAACTGTACCAGTTCTTCACTGTGTAACTACACTAATTATATATTCCTTTTTTATACAAATATTAAAATACCTTCTTTAAGCAGAAGATTAACTTGTCAAAAGGACAATTTGAGGGCTGGGGATTTAACTCAGTGGTTCCACCGCCTGCCTCACAAGCGGAAGGACCCAAGTTCGATCCCCGGTATCAAAAAAAAAACCCCAAAAACAAAAGGACAATTTGATTAGTCAAATTCTCTCTAAATCAAGAGCAAGTTGTTCGGGAATTGCTAATGATTTTCAAGGTTTTTAATAAAAAAAAAAAAACACAGGGGCCGGGGATTTAGCTCAGTGGTTTCGCTGCCTGCTGCACAAGTGCAAGGACCCAAGTTCGATCCCCGGTACCAAAAAAAAAAGAAATACAGCTTTAATCTTTTTACCATTCAATTGGTCTGTATCTCTGAGCCTTAAGTGTGGGAGAAAGGGGGCATACATTGTCTTTTTTTGTGTGTGTGTGATAGGAGTTGAACCCAGGGCCTTACATGTACCACCCAAGCATTATACCACTGAAGAATCCCAGCCCAAGAACCATTCCTATTAGTTGTGCAATGATAACAACATACCTTAGTTAAAAATGTAGGCCAGGGCTGGGGATTTAGCTCAGTGGTTTCAACACCTGCTACGCAAGCGCAAGGACCCGAGTTCAATCCCCAGTACCAAAAAATAATAATCATAATAAAATAATAAAAGTGTAGGCCAACTAAAAAAAAAAAAATGTAGGCCAACTCGGGGATAGTAAGTTCAAAGTGACGTGTTTATAAACAATCCCCCAAAAGTATTTTAGATTTTATCTTCATGCTTTCATTTTGAGACATGCTTTCAGCTGTTTAATAAGAAGGATACTAGCTGGGCAAGGTGGTTGGATCTCAGCACCTGGGAAGCTAAGGCAGGTGTATTACTGTGAGTTTGAGATGAGCCTGGGCTATATAGTGAATTCAAGGTCAGCATGGTCTACATAGCAAGAACCTATCTCAAAAAACCAGAGGAGAAAGCAAAATGGAGGATACAGTAGTACAAACACTGGAGTTGTGAACTTTCCCAGATACAAATGGACCTTACATTACAAACATTTGTAGATGCGAAAGTTACCATTTTAAGGTAGCTATAAAAGTAGAAATAGGGCCAGGGATGTAGCTCAGTGGCACCATGCCTGCCTCACAAGTGCAAGGTCCTGAGTTTGATCCCTGCTACCAAAAAAAAAAAAAAGGTAGAAATAGTTTGTGTGTGTGTGTTTTTTTTTTTTATGCTTTACATTGTATATTTGTGTGAAAGGTGTGTAAGACTCACTTTGTTGGACTTAGGAACTAATCTGACTTAACCAATGTTCTTTCAGGGACTTAACTGTACTAGTTTCATTTTAGAGAGATTTCTTATCTTATTTCATTTGTAAAACATTTTGGTTTGAATGACATTATGTAAAAGTAGGGAGGATTGGGCTGGGGATTTAGTTCAGTGGTTCCACTGCCTGCCTCAAAAGCACAAGGTCCTGAGTTCGATCTCCAGTAACCAAAAAAAAATGTAGGGAGGATTGAAGGGTGAATAGCTTTGTGAGAAAAGCAAAATGTATCAATCCGGACTTTAAAAAAATAATTTTATTTTCTTTTTTTCAGATGGTTCACTTTCTTACACACTATGCTGACAAGATTGAATCTGTTCATTTTTCAGACCAGTTCTCTGGTCCAAAAATTATGCAAGAGTACGTATGAGATAGAATTATTGCAGTTCATTTTTCACTAGTTCTATGTTGAATCACTACAAGGTGTTTTGCAGTTTCCCTTACCAAATGAGTGGGGGAACTTGGTGACAACCTCCCCTTGTTTTTGTTTGCTTTAACTACATGCATCATGAGAGTCCACTGAAAACATGGAAGACAAATGAGCCTACCCTACCCTGCTTTGCATAAGCCCCTGCATGTTTGCATCATCCATTTAGTAAAGTAGATGAGTCTTACAGAATAGCTGATGCTAAAAAAAAAAAGGAATTACTAATCCCTTTTTCCTTATTTTTGGTAAATTTATGACATTAGTTTATGATGTTTGATTTGTGCTTGATTACAAAGCTGTGTATAGCCTTTTCTGTCTTCCTTCTTTGAATAATTGCATGATTGTATCCTTTCTCCAACATATTAGGGATCTTCGATGCCTATAAAATTTCTGGGTTTATAATAACATTGTTCAAATGTACAGTATGTACTGATTCTGACATAAATTTGTAGTTACAAGCTACTCTTATAGACTGTGGAGTTAACTATAATTAAAAGCCATTCTAGGGCCTGGCTTCATGGTATAGACCTGTAATCCCAGCATTCTGGGAGACTAAGACAGGAAGATCGAAAGTTTGAGCCCAGCCAGGGGACAACTTAGCAACATAGCCCCTGTTTCAAAAGTAAAAATTTTTGAAAGGGCTGGGAATGTAGCTCAGTGTAAAAGCCCTGGGTTCAGACATTAAAAAAAAAAAAAAGGAGGGCCTGGGGCTTTAGCTAAGTGGTTCCGCTGCCTGCCTTCCAAGCTCAAGGTCCTGAGTTTGATCCCCGGTACCAAAAATAAATAAATAAATTTAAAACAAGGAAAAAGAAAGCATTCTGGGGCCAGGGATGGTTTCACACACCTGTAATCAAAGGTGCTCAGGAAACAGAAGGATCACAAGTTCAAGGCCAGCCTGGGCAACTTAGTGAGACCCTACCTCAAAATAAGGGGTAGAAATGTACCTCAGTTGGTAGAGCATCTCTGGGTTCTATCTTTGG